GTTTTCCGAACAAATAAAAATCGCAGGGTGCCATATCAGGCGAATAGGGTGAATGGTTAATGATATGAATGCGATTTTTGTTAAAAAAATCTGTCTGATTCTGAGGTCTTTTTCGTGTTGTTTCAAAGTGTGCGGGACAAATCGAGCACAAACCTTTCTGAGGCCCAAATTTTCTATCAAAATACGATAAATCGACGCTGCGGATATTGATAATTCCGACTCCATATATTTAAGCGATGATTTCGTCTCTTTTTTAATGAATTCACGCACAATTTCCGTGTTTTTTTGGTTCACAACATCTTTTGGCCGGCCTGACGTTCGTCGTCTTCCAAGTCCTCCCGTCCCTCTTGAAAACGTTTAAACCACTCGTGAATACGGCTACGGGATAGACAATCATCGCCATAAACTTGTTTCATCATTTAATGAGTTTTGGTAAAAGTTTTACCAAGTTTAAAACAAAAATTGGCTCTTTGTTCGATGCTCCTTTTCCGACCGACACTACAAATGTAATGTCACATGTAGCGCGATATCTCAGCTGTTATACAAGTCAGCTATTATATAAATTTTATACGACAACACTGAAGAATACACAATTGAGGGATAACAATTTCAGACAGATGGCGCCACTAGAAGCCGCGTTGTTTAAAGAGTCCTGGAACTTTTGAGCTTGTATATGCTCCCCTATGAGGTTCTCGGAACTGTCTGGGAAGTGAGTATCCATTAGTAGGCCTAGAGTCTCTTTACTGAAGGTATGCTATGTTTCGACTGTGTCATTTTTTTTCTCAGTCGAGACGCTTCTGCCGTATTCTCGATGTCATTACAAAAAGATTTCCACGAATTTTTTTTTGCCTTTCTTACCTCCTTTTTGTATGTCCGTAGGTGGTTATGATATTTACCCCACTCTCTATCTTTTTGGGATAATTTGGCAAAATTGAATTGCTTCCTGCAATTTTTCTGCATGTTCTTAAGTATGGGAGACCACCAAGGAGGTCTAATTCTTCCCCTACTGTACGTTAATGGACAAGCCACCTCTAGTGCTTGACGACTAGAATCTGTAAATTGTTTAACGAAGATGTCTATGTCCTCTTTCTTTTCCGGTTGAAATGGTGAAATCATAGGAAAACGCTTTTTTAGCTCCTGCATGTGCATCTGCCAGTTCGTTTTCCTATGATTCCTAAATTTCGGGGTCGGGGGCGGGTTCAAAGTCCCGCTAAGGCCATGTTCCAGATGTTTCTTTACGATTTCTTACAAGATTGGATCTTCATTTGTATCCGATAATTCAGCTGAAATAACCCTGACAATTTGGCTGGGTCTAATTTTGTTCACTAACCACACCAGTAGGTGTACATGTGGCAAGCCACGTTTCTGCCATTATATTGTGTACATATGACAGCACGACGGACCGAATATATGAGACTTGTTAATGAGGTGCAGGAGTTTCTGTACTTTTAAATGGAAGACTCTGTTAACTATATCGTATCTGTCTAGTGGAGTTGAATTGGTGTTAATATTTTCTTTGATTTCCGGTCAACTTAGGTTACATGTTGCAGTTATAAATAAATCAGGTTTGCCGTAATTCCTTATGTTAGTAATTCCGTCTTGCAATTTTTTGTGTAAATATCGAGGTCCACCTGTGGGCATCCTGAAGATGAACGTAATTTTCGGCTCCCTAATTAGTTTGATTATTACGGATAAAGACCAATCTCTCAGAGTAAAATTTAGCATATTGATCTACCAAGTATTGATTTGTTAACATTCCATATCTAAGCAAAGTGTTGAAATTGTTACGTCTTGTCATTATACGGTAGCAATAGCAGTTCGTACATGACTCTGTTTTACGCAGAGGTGTACTTCCGGTTGGGAAACTTGAGAAATAATAATGGCATAACCATTTTCTCCACGACATAGCATCAAAGGATATTGTAAGATGTCATAAGACCTGTGTATTTCTGAAATTTTTTGCAAATTATCATCACGACTGTGCAATACAATATCTCTTTTGTCAAAGTGCTGTCCAGTTATCACTACTGCTATTTCACTCATGGAAGGCCTTTTGTGTCGTCCTCTGTGTTTTACAGCAGTAACTTTATTTACATGGATTACGACACTAAAGTCAGGAGTATCTGCTGGAACACTCTCAAACGCAATTTCAAAAGACGGTATGTAGCAATTATGAGAATATAACATATCTTGGAGAGATCTAATCAAATCTCTATCAATTGGCTGTGCAACATTTGAACATCGCGTAGATGGTTGTGTATCTGGTTCTGCAATAAAATATATTTGCAAAATAAATAATATAAAATAAATTTGGTCGGAAGGATAGCAAGTTCCTAGATAAGGGGTACACTTCCCCTTGAATTTTAAATGAACCCATGCTCAACGACTTGCTTACTCTTAAAAGAGCTAATTTGAAATGCGTTATTATAACGGCGTACATTACACATGAATTGCTTGTATTTCTGATGATCACCCGTAAGAAGAGAGTGAAGTGCTACAGGTGGAAAGAGAATTTCTTTCGTTTCGTCCTTTTTTTCAATGCCAAGCAATGTTCACACACTACTGACATAGTACCTAGTGATACCATACGATCGTCCTTGTAAGAAATCGAAGGATCGTAATTCATGGTAGAATTTCCTTTATTCACCCATGAATTAGCTCGTGTTGATGATTCTGTGGCTCTCTGTATTCAATGTCTACCCCATCTCGGATGCGGGGAATCTTATGCTGTACCGAAAATCTCTCTCTCTCTCAGCTCTATATCCATCCCGAAGTTGATTGAGTCGAGCCTCACGCTCTACCGACGATTCTCTGTCCCTCTGAACCGTATGCCTATCTTAATCTCGGCTGCGGCGGACCTCACGCTCTACTGAAGATTCTCTCTCTCTCTTTCTCTCAGCTCCATATCTATCCCGAGCCTAACTGAGACGACCCCCACGTTCCGTTGACGATTCTTCATCTCTTGCGGAACGTACTCTTTTATCATTTACTGTACTACCTACCTATGCTCTAACAACCACGGCTTCCAGGTATGACTTTATAATTGATATACAAAATTTACTCAGTTCTATATGTATGATTATCCTATGCACAAATTGCGATATTATTAGTATGTACCGCAGTAAAAATGTCTAAATACTTACCATTTAGAAATCATAAATCATAAAAAAACAAAAGATACTAATTTTATTGAGTTCTTTTTTTTAATGAAATACCTTAGCTTAAACTACGTTTTAATTAAATTAAAAATAATTTGCTATTCGTGCGACTAAAAACAAAAGATAATCAAATCATTAACAACAAAATATACCTATTCTATTAAATTATTTTTCTGAACTTGCATGAACCTTAAATTACGATTTTTTAAAATAATTTCCCTAAAATTAAATTGATCTAACTCTAAATTTTAACCAAGATCTTAATAGAAAATAGAAAAAAAAATGTACTTATAATTACTATAAGTGCAATTTAATCTAAATTAACTTTAGAATAGAATATCATTTATGTTTTAAAACTATTATCATACAATTGTTGTCGCGTTGAAAAGCACGTTTTTATTAAGTATTGTTGTTTTCCTCGCTAGAGAGCTCCGATAATAAACGTGTCCGATCGCTGCTAAATTCAAAGTGCTATAGGAAGAACCGCGGCCTCCGACACCTCAAAAATAACAGAATTTCTCTACTATTTAATGGATGTTTTTATACATATAAACCTTCCACTTCAATCACTCTATCTATTACAAAAAAACCGCATCAAAATACGTTGCGCAGTTTTAAAGATTTAAGCATACCTACATAGGGACAGATAAAGCGGCTTCGTTTTATATGTATTATGTATTGATAATGTAAGCGAAATCGATGCGGTTTGTTAAGAGAAACTAAATTATTTTTAAGATCGTACCAAAAAATATTAAGAACATTAACTCCCGAAGCTTTTCGAAGGTCGAAAAATCGACAAAACGGTTTTGTTAAACATTACTAAAAACGCAATAAATCAATAACTAAATGCGCCAAGAACATTCGATTTTACTCCTACGATGATACAAGAGGGTTATTTTAAATTCCATATGATTCTTTCCCTTTCCAGTACACAAATCAAGCACCTATGAATATATAGGGACAAACCATTGCACAAATAGTGCCTTTGAGATATCCCATCTTGAGGCTGAAAATAGGCAAAATCGGGCCATAACTTTTTAAGCCTCCACTCACCGAATATGTAGACCCCAGTGCGTATGGCTGACTTTTTGCCGATAATATCGGTCAAAATGTGATATATATTTTTGAAATTCGGGGAAAATGTTTTTTTGATAATAGTACACCCTTGTGTCAAAAATGGGATGATTCGGGTCAATACTTCCCTTAGCCCCCATATAGTTAATATAAAGATGTTCGAACTTCTAGTTGGCTTTGTACCACATATATCGGACAAAGTGGAAGTGATTTTAATGAAGTTGAACCTTTTCGCTACATTTTACAAGTATAATATGAAGTTTTGCCAACACCTGAAGGTATTTAGCCGCCTTTGCTCCTTGCAAGTTGCAAGAGTGTAAAATGTTCGGTTACGCCCGAATTTAGCCCTTTCTTACATTTTTATTTATCGTTTAGGGTCAAAAAGTTTATTGTACGAGAAAAGCTGGACCATCGAAAAATGGAGGTACACTTTGGAGATTTTGTCATTCATCATTTGTATATCTGTGTGGATGGAAAATACCTTCGAATCGTTTATGAATAAAACATTTTTGCAGATGAGTGTTACTACTTATATTAACAAATAATCATTATATTGAAGAATGGGTTATACTTTCGAGCAATATTTTACATAACTATAAAAAAGGAATATAATTTAAAACCCCTAATGTAAGACTATGATAGTCATAATTTACCTATACGTGGACCCAAAGTTAAATGACCCAAATTAAAAATACAATATATTGCCATACAAATGGAAATTGTATACATCTATATTTAATTTAATTTTTTTTTATTATTTTATTCCAGGTGATTTGCAGATTTGACGTGCTAATAAATTATATAAGGACTTATGATATAGTAAAAGATGATGGCAAACGTCCATTGGTCGAGAATTTCAGCAAGTAAAATATTGCGAAACGTGTTAACAGCAATTTTGATATTATTACACACACAAAGAAATAATGCTAATCAAAGTAGGTATAGTGCCATATGATTGTTTAACAAGTTTTGAATACATTTTGAAAAAAAATTACAGATCCATTTCGTGATCCAAGCATTTGTGGAAGACCGCAATGTGAAACGCCATTCAGAAAATTTTATTTTCGTAACAATTTATATAAATACGAATATAACGTAGACTTAAATACAGAATTTTCCGGTACAGACAATAATGCGTCCAGCATTTTCTTAAAAGCAGCCGTTATCATATATTTTCCAAAGCCTTGTGACGGATTTTTACAAATCACGGATGTTAAACTTTGGGATCATCAGCATATACCAAACGATGACGAATTCAGCAATAATGCTCATAGCAGAAACGAAAATTTAGATGAAGATGATTATTATGGGGAGTTTACGGACTCAAGTGGTTATAATGAACCTAATGATGATTTTAGTAATATGCATCCAAAAAGTCTTGAGCTGGCAAAAGATTTAAAGCAACATTTGTTACGCTTCTCATTCAACGATGGGCTTATTTCGGAAATATGCCCAAACTTCCGAGAATCAGTTTGGGCTTTAAACTTTAAAAAAGGCATACTCTCTACTTTTCAAAATACAATGCTGCGATTTGATGTCGATTTCAATACAACAGAAGTCGATATATCCGGGGAGTGCAATGTGCAGTACACATTAAAAGATGTGAATAATGTTTTTATAAAAATACGTAAGACAAAAAACTTGCCAACATGTCAGAAGCGCTATTCAACTAATTCTATACTACAATCTACTCCATATACCTTTCGTGATGATAAAGCTATATGGCCCATAATTGACTCTATAAGTTACTGTGATGTAAGTACTTTTTTCTCTAAAATATAATAATACTCGTAGTTATATTGGTCCTTATTTTTCTTGATAATGATTCCGTATACACAATTTTTACTGCGAATAGGTGGCTTTAGTTTCTTTAGTAAGTTTATAAAAAAACGGTTTAAATAAGATTATTCTCACGCACATCTCCTAATATAACTCAGGTACATTAACGAAGCCTAAACTTGTTTGGTCTAATGACCATCTGGTCGTCGGTAGTATTTAAGGTTTCAGTGTCTTAGCCGCAAGGCTGCAAACATGAAAGTTTTCTATTGGGCAATTTGCTCTTTTTGTACACGTGACCTCTCAGCATGCAGCGGCTAGTGTACATCTCTATAAGTAGTCTCAACTTGCCTCTTGGGAGGCTTAATTTTCAGGTTATTTTCTCCCAGAAATAACTGCTTCCAGAAACCTGTAGCCAGTACTGATCCCTTTTCATTGTTCTTCTTTGACAGTGTTTGGACCCTCTGCAATGATAGGCCCTGATCGTAACGACTTTGTGACCGCTGCTTTCCTAACTACTTGGTTAGCCATGCCCTGTCTTACAAGGTTAAATTCGTTCGATATGACTGGAAATTGGAAAGTGTGATGTGCTCGATATACGAAAAACATGGCACAAACCATCCCAAGCTTTCCTCACATTAACACAAGTATTTTCCGGTCAATATTTCTGTCAGTTTATATAACGAATTATTTTTCACGTTTAAGTTGGATGTGCTTTAAAAACGAATTTTTTAGTTTTTTTGTACTATATTTATTTTCCACTTTTTATTTTAATGTGCTTTAAAAGCAAGTTTTTTAGTATTTTAAACAAAACTTATTATTTAGCTCAACCACACATGGTGTTTTCACTTTATTTGAGGCTGCGTTTGTTACTCAAATGACAACATATATACAAGTAGTTCATGCTTTTAGTTGCATAGTTTTATAGTCGTTATACGATTTTGCCCATTTACACAGGGTGTGATAGGAATGGCTGGGTAACTTCACATACCAAATTTGGTAGAAATTAGTTCGATAAATCCTGAGAATTTCACCTAAAGGTTAAATTTTCCAATTTTTACACCGCTTCCTGTAAACCTCTTCCCTACCATCTTGTCTGTAAAATTTGATGCTGGTGGGATGCCAATTTAATAGTATACAACTTAACCGTGATATTGGAGTGGGCGTGGTTATTATCTGAGTTAACCCATTTTCACAGCGTATTTAAAAACCCTAAAAGTCCGTTTTAACTTTTTGGACATTAATTTAAAGTATCTATATCTAATATTATGCGTTCGCTTCTTTATCGTAAGGTATCTTTTATACTGATCGATAACGCCAGTTTGTGCAAAGGCGTGGTTGTTGTTAGATGTGACCTATTTTCGCACTGTACTAAAAGAATAACAGGCTTATATTATGCACCAAATTTGGCTGAAGCTGGTCAAATGGTTCCTGAGTTGTGACTTCTTGCAATACAGAAATTTGAAGATATTGGAATAAAGTTTTGCCTTGGTTTTCAACTATGGTATAATATATGTATATAAACTAGCGACCCGCCCGGGCTTCGAACGGGTGCAATACTGATACTAAACACGCTACAGAAAAACTGTGAACGTTGTTTATAAAAACATAGCGGCCTGCTCCGGCTGCCAACGAGTATAAAATATATATCCTATGTCACTCACCGAAAAAATTATTAAAATCGATCCAGTAGTGTTGATTTATTCATTACTGCCCCTGGCCCGTTAAATTTGGAGTAAAACAATTCTCCTTTCCCTATACCATGGAAATTTCCTGCTACATTGGAATATCTAAATTTATACACTACATTTTTACTTTGTACATTTTTACCTATTTATTTTATTTTTAAAATATACAACGTTCACAGTTTTCTTGTCATTAGCGATACAAACATGTTTTCTCTAGAGGTTACTCTTGAAAGAGCGACATACAAGTACAGTTGGCCATGTGAAAAACAGTCAACTCTTAAATTTAAGCCTGCAACTTTGATGGTTTGACCCTGGGATTTATTAATGATCATTGCTAAAGATGTCTTTACCTGAAACTGTAAACGTTTAAATTGGAAGGGTAAATCGATGGTATCAGAGGGATTCGGGGAATCAATACATCTTCTCCGGTACCACATCCTGTGAGTATTTTGCACTCCATTATGAAAGTTTTCAGTGATTTAACCACCCAACGAGTGCCAATGCAAAGTTTGGTGGATTCGTGTTTCTTAATAATATAACAGGACAACCTACTTTCAACACCATTTTGTGAGAAGGAGTTCAAAGAGTTTAGAAAATCTGTAGGAAAATGAACAGCTTCTTCCGATCGAGAACAGTATCGACCGAGTAGTATATTTTCGTTGGCGCAGTCTTTGAACGAATCAAGTTATTTACCTTACCTACTTGTTCGTTAGTTGGTGACAGAATCGCTCTTTCTTTAACCATTATGTTATTTAGTAACCAACTTTACCGACGTCTTTTAGCAACCACGATCTGAGTATTATTACTATTTTGTTTATTTTATTATTCTTTAAATATTAATAGTCAGTGACAATTTAAAGAAAAAACAAGTAGGGAAGAGCTAAGTTCGAATGTAACCGAACATTTTATACTCTCGCAAAGTTAAATGGTATATTCGTTTGAGACTGCTTTTTATATTTTAATAATTAGAAGTAGGAACTGTTGCCTTAGTTATTTACTTTCCACTGACAGTGAAAATAATTAGAGCAATTTGTAAACTAAATTTACTCAAGTTATGAGAAATCGTTCTTGTGCTTTTTTTATACGCTTATAATTGATTTTAAATAGAATGCATTACAACTGTATTGAGAAGTATGAAAAGAAATCGTTTTTGGACAATGAATAACATTTTTATTTATTATATCGATATTATTATACATGTTTAGCTTAAAAATAATAAATATTAACAACTTTAAAAATGATATAATATTATTATATTAATTTGTATATAATATTTACAATATTAAACATAAATTTTTGTAGAGATTCTTATACATATATCCAAATTATATTTCTTTTTTAAAGTGAAACTTTTATTACATCGTCTCAAATTTTTTGCGCTGCGTTTGCATGTCGTTTTTGTAATGCTCTATACATATGTGCCGAACAAATAATGCATACACAAACCTACGTACACATATGTGTACACATGTAAATACGTCACCGGCAAAAATTACAAACATTGTTCTACAAAAACAACAATCGTCTCAAGTAGCATAAGCAGCACACACACATGTCAATATGACAGCCTAATTGCTATAGCGACTCACGCGACGACAAAGCGTCACAACATTGTGTTGTTGGTAGAAAACCCGAGCTGTGTCGGAAACAACAAACGAACGATTGCCGATTGTCACCGCTTCCCTTGCCGCTCTAACAGCTTTGCCGGTAAACCATTGTAAATATGTATGTTTATGTATGAGCATGCATATATGTATATCGACGCAGATTTTTGCGAGCCATATAAAAATATTTTAAAATTGTAAAATATTTTAAATCGACAAGAGCTATGTTGCCATTTTTGTCACTTTTTTCTGTGTTTGCCGGGTTGACACTTTTCCTTTCAAGAAGGAACATCAGAAAGTTGTTCAATTTATGATTTTTAGCTTTTGCCATCGTCGCGAAAAGACGCTTGTGGGCAAACACATGCTCGGGAAGATGTGTATGGTATGGCGTTTACTTTTATGAATGAGTCAACTTCGCTTGTTAAGAGTAAGCCTGCGTTCATGAATGAAAATGTTGTTGTTGTGTGATTTACTATAAATCTGGCTTCGACACATTGATTCTCTGAAATGAAAGCAAAAAAACGTGAAATTTCGCATGAAGCAATTACTCTTTATATCTAGATGCAAAATCAGCTAAACAAAGAGTTTCTAACTGATCGGATCTTTGAACATAACGGTCTAAAATACCGGCTACGAATATTTCAGTCGAACCTGAAGGAAGGTTCTGAAGTTCCGCTCTAGGTTTTACCATTCGAACACGTTAATCAGGTCGAGAGGTATTTTTAAATATTTCTGCATTACTTGCTTCCGAAAGATGGAGCCCAATGCAGCAATATACTGCTTCTTGTGCAGATATTTCTGTGCCTGATATAAATTTGTGACCTATATGTTTAAGTTTTTGCTTAATAGTATAGTTTCAAGCATTTACCTCTGATATAGCTTCGTTTAAGAGCCTAGAAATTCCCCTGTTAGACTTGTTAATATAATTAATTATATATGAACAGCAAGCATATGCATCCAGTATATAATGGATATCCATATTTGCTCTATGGAGTTCCAAAATCAAAGGATTATAAGGGTTTATAAAACGATCCTGTAATTTTCTTTTTAAAAAAAATTTGGGTTTTGTTAAACTTGACCTAAGGGCTAACAAATAGTCATCAAAAGACATATTTATTCTACTATCAGACAGGAAGTGTTCAAAATCGTTTAAATTAGAAATGTCTTCTGTAGTCATATTTGAATTTAAAACGTTTTGAATTTTGAAAAAGTTTTCCTTGTGTCTTTCTGAGTTTTGACTTGTTTCTGTAAGAGGTAACAGTATTTGCGTTGAAGTCATTGGTGGATATGGTATACCAAAACGACAAAACTGTTGTCATCTTATTTACCTAGTACAAGACGGACTGTGGTTATGCTTTTGATAACCCAAATAATTTTCTAAGTGGATGATCGAATCATCGGTAGAAATATAATTGTTAATAAAACTAGTGACATCAGGGAATGTCTGAGGATTTTGAAGGTTGATCCTGGGAGCATTATTAAGCCAATACAGGCTATGTACATGCGGGGAACCTCTCTGTTGAAACTCCACTCCAGTAGAAATTTGTAACAAAATGCTCTCCAAAAATGCCGGCGTAATCTTTGAAAAGCTTAAGAATTTGTCGACAGCGGTAGTCAAAATATCTAGCACAGGTAACCGCGTCTGACCGAGTTAAGCGATATCTATCTTGGGTTGTTAAACTGTTGG